TTAACCATATTCCACAGTTATTTTTGTATAGAATCAACGTATACGCGAGATAATTACACACATTAAAAAAAAAACGCGATATAATCAGGTAGAAATTGATCGAGTAACAGCGAGTTTATTTTCAAAAAATAACTAAAAATGTATTTTGAAATTTTACCGTTATTAATATTTTTTATCGGAAACTTGACATTTTACAATGAAATAGTAAATTTTAAAAAGGTAGCATTTACCATTGTGGACTTAATGATAAAATTTATTATTTTATTTTTAAAATGTCAATAATCGATGATCGATGAGTCTTGATTCGAAAAGGTCAAGCGCTTAGCACTTTATTGCATCCAACACTTCAGTTACAAATGAAAAATTTGAAAATTGACACGGACACACTTAATTCATTAATCAAAGAGCGAAAGTTTTGATTATTTATATATATATATCTATTTTATATAATATTTTGTTCTATTTTTTATTACAGTTTCAACAACGAGAATAGCGAGCAAAACATGATTGCAAGATTGCAGTTTGTGAGTAATATACATACATATATATAACATTTTTACAATAACAAGTAATAATAATTTTTTTAAATATTTTCATTTTTTAGAAACTGTCTGCAGAAAGAAGGACCTCCAGATACTGCAAAAAGCAAGCCCAATATTGGGAAGGCCAGTACTGGGGCATAGCAAACCAGACAAATTCAAGTGTAAGTATGAATTGTTTATGTATAACATATAAGTTCATACCCGATAGTATAAATAATATATTTCATTTCTTTTGTTTTACAGATAATAATTCCATATCGAAAATGAAATTAAATCTCAACTTTCTGTAATGCACAATTATCAATAATTTTTATATCAATAAAATTCTAATTTTTGTGAATCAAATTTAAAGTACTTATTTGTTAACTACAATCTCTCTACCAACCAAAATCCATTTTACATTCTTATTCTACAATAATAATAATTTAGCAGTTAAAATGATATATTATGATATTAACAAAAATACTATAAAAAATACATTATCTTATTATAAAATTTACGTACGCTCCATAAAGGCAAGGACTTCGGAAACCTTACGTAATGAGTCACTCGGCATTGTTGTTCCTAATAATTATAAATTAAAACATAAAAATAATAAAAATCAGCGTTGAGCAATCATTTGATTGGCTTGAGGGGTGGTTCGCGAGGGCGCCGACCGGAGCTATTTTTCAAGTCCTTTCATAGAAGCAATACTTACGTAATAAACCATTGTTCAGCATTATATGTCTTGGTGGTTCGATGTTTCAACCAAAAAACGATTAAAATTCCAAGTTTAGTGGTTGTTTGAAGAGCTGTAGGGGTAGTTCGCGAGGGCGCCGACCGGAGATAATTTCTGAGCTCTTTTCTTAGAGCAATAATTATATAAAAAGCCATTTCTCAACATTATATATCTTGGTGATTCGATGTTTCAACAAAAAAACGATTAAATTCTGTGTTTAGTGGTTGTTTGACAGGCTGTAGGGGTATTTCTCGAGGGCGCCGACCGAAGATATTTTTAGAGCTCTTAGAGCAATAATTACATAAAAAACCATTTCTCAACATTATCTGTCTTGGTGATTCGATGTTTCAACAAAAAAAACGATTAAATTCTGTGTTTAATGGTTGTTTGACCGGCTGTAGGGGTAGTTCGCGAGGGCGCCGACCGGAGATATTTTTCGAGCTCTTTCCTTAGAGCAATAATTGTATAAAAAACCATTTCTCAACATTATATATCCTGGTGATTCGATGTTTCAACAAAAAAACGATTAAATTCTGTGTTTAGTGGTTGTTTGACGGGCTGTAGGGGTAGTTCGCGAGGGCGCCGACCGGAAAAATGTTTTCGCATTCTCCTTACAATTATACTTTGACGGAAAAGCATTATGCTCCCTCTCATTTATTGGTAATAACAAGTGTCAACGTTATTTAACATTTATTACGCCAGTTACTGTAAGGGTAGTTTATAAGGGTTGTAATTAAATTTTGATGTAAAATCATTGTTCATATCAATATAGTATTGCTGAGAATCAATATGTCGTATTGAAAATTGAAACTTGAAATTTTGAAATTTTCGTTCACTGTGAACGATCCAAACTTCAGACTCATCGATGTTTGCAGTTGGCGTGCGGGAAATAGTATAGAAGAGAGGGTAACGAGTCACAAGATTAGCACCAGGTGGGAGGGAAAAGAGAAGGACAGAGCGAGAGGCCGCGACTGCGCGGAAAATCGCGGCATTCGTTCGATTGGCCGTTCCACGATGATGAGAGAGCGCAGCGTCCAATGCTCTGCCACCGATTAATAGTCGCGCGCTCGCAGTCGTAAGGCTTGTAAGTATATTGTATTGCCATCGACACACGCTATCAGGATATCGGCGAAATGCGATGCGCTTTCCTGCATTAAGATTCCCAGACACGATGATTAACACCTTTTCACTTGAATTTTACTTTGCGCGAATGATTCCTACATTCGAGCGTACGGGGGGACACTGCCGCGCTTCTAATTGTGCGTTTTCTCTCAGGCCCGCGCCACATACGTATGTGCATACGCGTGCGTACAACGGCGTACAATAGCGTACAAATCGCTAAAACAGAAAATTACTACTATTTCTCACATGTCCTAAGCGAACACACACTCCCGGTTGTTGGTACTATCAAAATTTTCAGCGATTTATACGCTATTGTACGCCGTTGTACGCACGCGTATGCGCATATGTGGCGAGGGCCTCAAAGATGCGCAAATCACTGTAGCTGCCGCATCGCGGGAGGATGAACAAGCTACGTTGCGGCATTGGCAAGATTTTGGTGAAGCGTTGTAGTCGCGGTTGTACGTGCTATAAATAGATATCAATGACTCACCACTCCAATACGCACGTCAAGGACGATGAAATGTAAGTCAGATGAAGGAGAAAGAATAATAGATGCACCAACGCGATTTAACACAATTGTAACTTGAAAATCAGGAAGCCTATGCACATCAAGAATTGACATTCTGAGTGTACTTCATTAATAAAGAAAATTATTGAAGTCAACCACTGAAGTTTTATACTTTCGACAGAGAGAGAGAGAGAGAGAGAGAGAGAGAGAGATAGAGAGAGAGACATGTCCGAACTTTTAAAATTCACACTAGGTCAAGAGATATTGTAATAGATTTTTGACAATTTTGTCTAGAAAGAGAGGGTGTTATAAGGTTTATGAGAGTGAGAGGAACAATGATAAAGTTTTGTCCCGATATTATGATTGAACTCGATAAACCCGAACTTTGAAGGTCAGTAATACCTGCCTTATATGCACGCGCGTGTGTGCATGTAGATATCCTTATTGAATAGTAAATATTACAATTGTTTCAGCAATCATGCTGCGTACTGAATAGTACAATAAGTTCTTACAAGTAATAATAATTGAATAGTCGCATTACGCTTGAATCTAGTAAAAAAATTACATGTTTCAGTTTAGTGCCGTTACAACCAAGGTTACACAAATACTAAAATTTTTATAGTATCAGCTTACGCTTTTATTATAAGTGTATGTAAAACTCGTGTATGTGAAACGAAAACTACAGCTTTTTATTTTCCAGGCTCGCGTGTGACCAAATTTCTTACAAACTATCAAATCAAATTTTTTATAAATATCGAAAAATGGAGATAATAGGTCAAATTAACTAAAATATAATAAAAGAAAGAAATGCTCAGTCACATAATTTAAAGATCATTTGATTGTAGTTTATAATATATTTGTTTTACAATAATAGCTATTTTGTCAAGTTATTTCTTTTTCTCCAGTATTTTTTATTATTCATATAGTATTTATTTTTTTGGTCCACTTCTGATATGTTTGTGTTATAACCTGTGTATATCTGTTAATCCATGCTGTATGTTTCGCATTTAAATCCCCTAGTAAGGTAAAGTAATTGTCCGGATTTTCTATCTTACGATATTTTAATATCTATTACGCTTGTATTCAAGTAGCTGATGAATAAATTTGAATTTGTTTTTATTATTTTTTCAAATTTTCTATTTTTGAAGCCGTAAATGTTTTCATTTCTTCTACGACATTTAAATTCATATTTGTTTATTTATTTATATCTACTGGGGTTACACGACTGTAACTGATAAATGTTTTCGGAATACGCTAGTATATATATATGCAACGAGGGTATTTCCTACCGCTCGCGGGTTGCCAACGCTATCTAGTTGCAGATAGGTGGGCAACGAAGGCCCCACAAGCTATTTGTTTGTTATAGAGTGAGTGTAAATTGATGGAACGTAATACTAAACTAAATTATCATCATTGCACGGAGCTCAAAAGGAATCCCGAATAATTAGACTATTGATCGTGTAGGGATTTATTAAGGACATTTTACATATATAAGTCTATTTATTTAAACAAATTAAATTATTTGAATGGAGTATATCTTGTATCTAAATTAAACATGTGTAAATGAAACATACTACGGAGAAGCAGAACTTGTAGCTGAAACTTACAGTTGACTTGTAAATTTGTTGAAGTATATTCATAACAGGTATTGGTTATGATTGATAACAGGTTAAAATGAACTTCACTTAGATTACAAGATGTTTATTTTTATTATTAATTAAATGCGCTTATATATATCATGGTGAAACTATTTTACTCAATGCGTTTATAATAATGAACGTGGTTTACTAAACGACAGTAAGAAAGAACGAGGTCGGTTAGCCTTAAATGATATTTACTCATTAAGAAATCAATTAAGCTGTCGATATGTGGACAATAGAGTCGCACGCAGTCGCACGAGTTCCACCGTCTTTTTGATCGTTACTTGGGTGATTAGTGTAAGCTTGAAAGTCGTCAATAATAGCCGTAAGAGCTACGAGTTTTATATTATTCGAATCGAAACGAAAAATGAGGCTTTTGTTTATATAGAATTGAACAAAATAAGTTCATGTGATTTTTTAAATTATTTAATTCTCAAATAAATCTCAAAAAAGTGACCAAAATATAGACAATGATTTGGAATCGCTTGTCAAAGAGTCTTGCTTTATCAGGGATTTGTACATTACTTTTTGGTGTAGTCTTAAAATTTATGTTGTTCCCCAAACTTTTGAAATGGCAAATGCACACAGTAAGTAAACTATTGTGGAATTTATATTGATGATATGAAAAGTGTCAACAATTGTTTTGAAAATTGTTACCTAGTATCCACGCTGTGAGGTAATTGATTATAAAATTTTTATTTTTCTTGCCAATCTGTGCGTTTTTTTAATATGCATTAAAAACAAGTTAAAAATGTTATAAAGCTTATAAATTTATCGTTAGCTCACAAAACCTCATTTTTTCCTATTCAATATCGTTATAACGTGAAAATTTTTTACCTGTATATTCAAATAATTCCACGTATATATATTCACAGTTTTATTATACGCCCGAGGAGTTGGGTTTTTATATTTTTGGGTGGATACTTCAGTTTATTCGTTTGAGCGGTACTCGGGAAATCGATTAAACTTTAATTTTTGATAACATTCGAAATAGTACAATAGGAAGATAGTCAAGGGTAAGATCTGGCCGTAGGTAGCCGAATCCAGTTCGCTCTCGCTCGCCGCGTTTTTTCAGCTTGGCGGACAATCGTCAGTGCTTTTGGGCCGCGCGTGCAAATTCAAGAACACTCGCGCGGAGATAGCTAAATGGAGACAATTGGATGACGAGCAAAAAGGAGAAGGAGCGTTGTAGCAATTATTCAGGCGCGGGACGCAAAAGCACAAGCGCACGATTTCTCTCTCTCTCTCTCTCTCTCTCTCTCTCTCTCTCTGTCGTAAAATTATGATGATAAAGTTTATTCGAAGTTATCCCTTAATTTTGTTTATTGAAACTCTCAACCCTATCGACTGATCGGGCAACGGCAACAGCGAACGTATTCGAGTAAATACACGCACAGGTCACATAATCGGCGGTATACGTGTGAGGCAGTCGAACCATGGGGACTGCATAAACGACCTGCCAAATCGAGCGCAGCCGTATGACAGCCATATTGTCTCTCGGTATATCGACCTACCACATCGAAGACATTTTAGCAACAACGGCATAACTGTAAACAGTGTATGCCGCATTGTGCGATGTACTGTAAAATCAATAAAAAACAAAAATTGTAATAAATTTATGTGCAGTTGTATCTTACACTACCTATTTATGAATTAAACGCCACCTGCACGTAACTCGAATACGTCTTTGCCAAGTTTATAACATTTTTAAAGCACCACGGCTGAGCCAAGGTACATAAATAACCAATACATTTTTAGACGATTCAATGATAAAGTGGCGTGTTAAGTAAACGTATTTCAGCTTAATTATATCACTATTGTGGTATGAGCATATATTTATAAGACTACTATCGTGGTATCGAAACGTTAGTCTGCTATTTCAATTTAAGGATTTTTTCAATAATTATTTTTCCACGATAACGATCGATCATAAATTTTTCAGAAAATAAATCTGAAACCTGGGAGTGACGTACGAACATTGTGGAGCAACGTTCCGTTTCCAATTGATTTTCGCATTTATTTATTTAATATAACAAATCCAGACGAAATAAAAAACGGCAAACAACCTATCCTTCGTGAAGTTGGACCATATTATTTTGTGTAAATGTTCATATAAAATGTACATGTAAATATAACACAATAAATTAAATTCCATAAAACCACATGAATTCTACAGAGAAAAACATGAGAAAACTAACATGTTGGACCACGAGAAACACGACTCTGTTGAGTATGCGACGAAAAACACCTTTAATTTTAAACCAGAAAACAACGGAGATCTCACTGGAGAGGAAGAGCTCATAGTTCCACACATTTTTATGTTATCTATGATCATGGCTACTGTGAGAGATAAACCTTCAGCATTACCTGTTGTCGGTGAGTAATTTACAAAAAATAAACGAGTCACATCAAAAGAAATCTTAAGAATTGATATCTATTTGCAGGCAAGGCAATCAATAGTATTTTCAAAAATCCGAAAAACGTATTTGTTAAAGTGAAAGCTATGGATTTGATGTTTCGAGGGTTGCCGATCGATTGCTCGGTAAAGGATTTCGCTGGGGCTGCAATTTGTGGTTTATTACGAGGTAAAATGGATGAGCTTATTGTCGAAGATCCGGATCATTTTCGCTTTGCTATTTTTGGAGCGGTTGGTGTCAAGACTTTTTTAAATTAACCTAATAAATTGTTTGCATTATACATATTTTCGGATAATATTTCAGAACAACGGCACGACCAGCAAAAATCGCATAAAAATTTTACGAGGATCTAAAAATCAAGCTGATATTGGTAGAGTCATTGAATTTAACGGAAAGAAAAATATTTCAATTTGGAATGATCAGTATTGTGATACTTTAAATGGGACTGATGGTTACGTTTTTCCTCCTTATTTGAAAGAGAATGAAGATATATACACCTTTTCTCCTGAGATCTGTCGCTCATTAAATCTCTACAGCATTGGGGCATCCGAAGTTGCAGGTACGGTGCTTCGAAATTTCTTATTGAAATACCACAGTATTGCAATATTTTTGACATTAGGATTATACAGCAACCGATATACCGCTTGGCTCGGAGATCCAAGTATCAACCCTGCATTAAAGTGTTATTGTCCATCCACTGGTTGTCTTAAGGCAGGCGTAATGGACCTCCATAAATGCACTGGCATTCCACTTGTAGCCTCGAATCCACACTTTTATAGAGTACACGAAGATTATTTGAAGATGGTAGACGGTCTAAATCCAATTAAGGTAATATTTGGTACGATAAACTACTATCCCCAATTGTTAATATTGTTTAATAAAAGCTGATCATTGGATTAAGGACAAGCACGAGACGTTCATCGATTTCGATTTATTTTCTGGAACTATCTTGCAAGCTAAAAAACGATTGCAGTTTAATATAATGATACGCAAACTAAACAGGTTTAAGATTATGGCCAATTTCTCTGAGGTTCTACTTCCATTATTTTGGATTGAAGAAGGGATCATTTTACCTGATGAATATATGAGCAATGTAAAAAGCCTCCATAATATAGTTGGGATTATATTGTAAGTATGTAAATTGACAAGAAACTACTTTTTGAAAACTGATGCTTTTAATTTCTTTTAGATGGATATCAGTGGCACTTGTAATAGTTGGATTAAACTGTTTTGTTATAACTATATTTGTTATATGTCGAGCTAATAAAAAAGTAAGAAATGTAATTCATTCACCGCAAGTCGGAAATAATATGAAATTCAGTACTACTAGACCAGGACCACTTGTCTGTAAGGTTAATCAATTGCGACCAGCCAAGGTACCGTTTTCGCTTGATTAACAAATATTTTCATGAATTTCAAGCGTCACAGTGCTTGACCTTACAAACAAAAATTTAATGATTCTTCGTTTGCGAAAGTCGATTTATTTGCGGTCATGTTTTACGCCTTCGAAATATTTCAAAAATTTTCGTATTCGTTCTATTTATATTTTACTTTTCCCGTATCTATGTTTCATTACTGTGTTAAGATATACGTCTTTGCACTGTACTTGCTCCTTTGTTATGTGATTGACGGTTATGAGTAAACAGTAGTAAGCTTCGTTACAAATTTCGGAAGTCTAAACTTTTAAAAAACATTTAATTTTTGTTCTTACGAGTATATCTACAAAAAATTTCGTACTACAAATGTCTACGCTCTTTTATATAATTTTCAATAAATCTTATCACCTTGGTCGTCCAACGATCTCGAATATTACGAAGAAATTAGTAAGCCTTCGTAATTTGTGTATTGTCTCCAAATAAAAAGTGCAATTACTTTCGTAGAGTTGGCTACCAAGATTGTATTAGAATCATGTTATTAGCGGAAACATTATACATGTGACATCTTTAAGTTTCGACAAATGATTTTTATGTAAGTTGTTTGCATCTTCTTAATTAAACTGGTTTATTAGTCGAAACATTACTTTTTAATTCACCCGAGTTACAGTTTAATTTTTCTACTTGATTTAAAAAACCGTGAATCGAAGGTTTTTTGCAAATCATATTTTAAGTTAGTTAATTTCATCCTTTATCAATTCCTCACTTATAGATCCGTCTGTTCGATGACAAAATCTACAATAATCGAAATCGGAGTCTCTCAAGTCAGTATCACGAAACCAATGAAAAAAACTGTTTACGATATAAGACCGTGTAGTAGTTTGTATTGCATCATTCGGGTTTTAATTCACAAATCTATAAAATACCTCGTTAATTAATAAGATTTCTCGTTGAAGAAAAGTAATTGTTAATCTTACGAAAATTGTATTGTGCGTTAGCATCAGAATGTGCACGAATATAACACTCATACCTGGCTCTAGAAGGTAGACAGACAACGACTGTTCTTCCATTGAAGAATAGATAGCAAGCAGGCCGAGTACCTCCGAAAATTGAAATATGGTTTTTGTAGCAATTATTTTCTGAAGCGCCGTCAAAATTATTCACGTTGAATTGTAAAACAAACCGGCAAAAAATACAAACGAATAAATAATATTTACACAGATATAATCTATTTTTAGTAAAACATCAAGTCAAAAACAAATGCCAGTTTTATTAAAAATCTTAACGAAAAAGATTGGTTTGATATCTAATGAAAATTATGAGCCGTCTTTATGTCCCAACGTAAAATACATTATGATTTTACGTACAATTTTTCTTGAGCTTCTTTTCCTGCAAAAGAATCCTTCGTATTCTGATAATTAGTACAGTAATGAACAGATGCCGCACAGTCTATAGCGTATTGTGGGGAATCAGGTTGGTAGGAGAGACATAACCATTAATTCACCACAGCTTAACTCAAGGTAGGTTTATTCAATAGCAGACAAAAGTTCAAGTCTCATTCCGTGTCCACACAGTGGGGAAGTGAGCGTGACAGACGGCGCGGCGGCCAGCTTCACGGTGTGTTCGATTTTTTATGAATTGATGTAAATAACGTTAAACATATGTTGTATATTATTCAAAGTTATATTTTATTAACTAAAATAATATTTTATTATTTTTAATAAGAATATTGAAAAAGTAAATTTATGTTTAGCATTAAGTCCTTTAACTAAATTTAAAAAATATTAAAAAATGTGAAAAATCGTTCGATCCATATGAAAGAAGGGATTCAGGGCAAGAGAAATAATTTTACAAGAGCTGAATTTCGCAATACACTATTATTAATATATTTTTGTTGTTTTTTACATTTTTTTTTGGGTTCATTACAAAATATCTGTGACGTCGAATACAAAAACAATACAAATAAATTGTTCGCGCACATACGTTGATGATCATGGGCATGAATTGATTAAGGGCGATCACCAATGCGAAAACATTATGAACTAGCGTTCCCGTGGAACGTACCGACAATTGTACTTAGCAATTGATTTAGCCAGACGGTGTGAATCAAAACCAGCTGTTAACTGTTATGTAGCTACCATTCATTTTGCTTTAAGATTGCTTGGTTAATAGATTTTATGTTGTTTCTTTCTATCATAACAAAACACGCGTAATAACGTACCTCTGATTATATTTAATTTTTAAATCGATTGATTTGAGGCTTCGTTGTATTAGCTATTTGATTATTTTAATTTTTTTATATTTTGCTCGTGGACGCAATAAGCTCGTTGGCTCATTATAAAATTTCAAACACATCATTACAACTATCTATAAAAAATGCATACGCTTTATATCGATCGTGTTTGTCAAGATTTTATAATTTGAAATACAGATTCTCTCTGTCTCTATCACTTCCTAAATTTATTTTAATAATATTAGGTTAAGCGTTATTACGTCGTGCTCATTACTGAAACTAAGAAAAATTTGCAATATATTATTTGATATTCTTGTTCCATGGCTACACACTGTTAGAAAGTAAAAAGTGACTATTTCATAAGATACAAATTTCGTTAAATAATCAATTAGTATGTGTATCTCTTTGAAAATATGAGTTCAATACATGGTCAAATATTAAATGATATTTGAACACAATGCACATATGAAAATTGCACGAAGAAGTCCTTATTCTTACTATAAAGTTGTTCCGCGCATACCTGTCGTCATTGACAATATTGTTTATTAAATAGCACATACGCTTCAATTTATCACACGAATAATCGAGTGTATTTTATCACAGACGATGAAATGCGCAAACGCAAGGTAGTGATTAACGAATTATTAACAAAACTTGCCAGGTTCAAGTCCGTGCAAGGCCGCTTTCATTTGACAGATCGTGCGCTCGACCAAGCGATGAAGTATTCCTCGGTTTCCCATGGAGATCAAGATGTTCAGCAAAAAGTTGCAGAATGTGATCGTGTCGGAAGGCTTTGCGCGTGACAAGTGCAAGATTCTGTATGTTCGTACAAGGAGTGCGGATTGGAGGCGACGCATCATCTGTCCAGTAAGCTGTCACTGCATGTTGTGGTTCTATCGTAAAAATACTTTCATCTGCGAAGCGTGCTCGGAGCTACCACCAAGACTGCCGTATCACGAGTCAAGGTCGCCTAACGTTGAAGCGCATTACAACGAGGCAGGAAAGTAAAAGTATATTTCTTATTATGACATTAGTTTTAATTATACATACATATGTATTTTTTGTATCTTTTTAAAATTATATAATATATTGTAAGATATGCGCTTAAGTGAGTTTTTTAATTTTTAATTGTATTTTTATTGTTATATATATTTTGAAATTTGTATAAATCGGAAGTTCTTGTTTTTATTAATAAAATTCATCTTCTTTTAATTTTTCAGCGTTGATCGTCGCATGGGTGAACATTTTACACTAAATTTTTTTCTCTTTTCCTAACGCATTGCAGCCAGCGAGATGAAGAAATCAGACGAAACACATACGCGCACCTGTACTCTCTTCCTAAACAAACACATGGACGGAGCGTAGCAGTTCGCACGGCAACTGGGGGCCCCCCGTCTTTCTTTCCTCTATTCGCTTGGTATAATCGCTACCTTGCGAAGAGGAGTGGTGGGGAGCTCTATAGTTACGAACGTCCGCACAAAGAGGAGAGAAGGATAGTGGTCCGCGGCAGAGATGGAGAAAGCGCAGTAACGCCAACACCTGCACTCACATCTACGATGGGACTTGCACCTCGCTTGATGGCGCGCACGTATATTTATTTCATTAAACTAACTTTATTAATTATCAAATATCTACGTGGCAACTGACTTGCATCTCCTAACAATGTAACAACAGCTTCACATCGAACTTCGTTTTGATCAATTTTTCCATCAAATATACACGCACATATACGCGTATTATTATTATTTATAATACTGATAAATAAAAAACCCCTGCGGCGGACACTTGCACCTCCTCTTATACCATCCATGCCCCCCCCCCCCCGCACCAAGGTCTACTATACGCCAATCTGACTCACCGGCGTCTGCATGCTAGCAGGTATTAACTCTTGGTGAAGGCCTAGGATGTTCCAGACAAGTTGCTTTATAGGCGTCCGCATACAGCTATCCCTATGTACAGCTGTAGTGTTCACTTATTCTATTAAATAGATAAAAAAGTTACGTATCTATATCTCTGTTAGAAAATTAACGGGGAATAATTCCAAATCGGACGTTATTCCAGATAACAAAAGCAATCAACGTTGACTGATAACTTGACAAGTTATAGATTATGAGGTTTATTGCTGCTATGTTCACGAAGAGACTAATATAGTAACAAATAATTTAGTTTTTATTAATGATGCGTTAAAATGTTCTATGACACATTAAAGACAAAGATTAAAATAAAATCGCCCTTATCTTTTGAAATGATCGTTTGGAAATTATTATTTGTAAAAATATGATGTTTCCCTAACCGAAATAAGTATGATAAATCATGAACGTTTTTTACGATAAAACATGTCGGTTAGAACCTCTTAAATAAATAAACTAATTCTTGAAAAATTCGCGAATTTCCTGGTATCGTTGCATCAGAGATAATTGTCTTTTTAATGTATTTTCGGAGTTAATAATAAATTAATCGTTTTATAGTTTTGTATGACTTAGATCGGCACTTAAATAGCATCTAAGTATGGCTTGAGTAATTCGTTACTGCACGGCTTATTGTTAATGACCATGTGCATACAAGGTCTCTAACCTGACGCTGCAGTACATTGACCTATTATTAATCTCTGATAGTCGAACCGTGAACGTTGATTAAAGTTCACAGACACAACATTGCTCGCGTACGGCCACAATAATTTGGTCGTGTAATAATGCTTAAGTCAGTGGTATCGCGTTATAAACAATAATAATTGCCTTAAAAAATATCCATGGTACAAGTAAAGAATCGATATAGGAGTATTTCATAAAGTACTGTCACACTGTCACATCGTCACTCCGGCAAAACATT